ATTGTAGAGACGTGGCATTTTTGAGATATTTTCCAATATCAGGATGCTCCTGCCAATATAGATATTTAATGAAATACATGAATAATACATAAAATATATAAGAAATAAACTTCGTTATTGCRTTTTGTGTGTTTGTTTGCATTTTTGTGTATTTTCAAACCATTTGTGTCAACGGCTTAGCGAAGAAACATAGTGGGTTCCCTGTTTCTTATGCCTAGTCCTTTGGCCGGGGCAAAATAAATATGGCGGATATTTGAAAAAGAAAATGTGTTCTGCAAGACGACCGTTCAAAATTTGCAATCCCTTACGCAATAAGCGTAAAGGTATAGTTATAGGAGATCTTCAGGAGTTAAGGGAWAAAGCTTGCGGCGTATTTGGTTTTGAATTCTCATCTTGTCGAGTTTTTATTGAAAGTGATGGCACAGAGATAGACGATGAGGAATATTTGAATTCTCTACCAGAACAAACCKTGCTCATGATCACAAATGGCGAGGAATGGACAGCTAGTGACGACGGTAAGAATAGTTTTGAGATGCTAATGTAAATAAACTATAAGAATAAGAACGAGTAAATCCAGCCTCCGGTTTCCAAGGTAATAGTGTCAAGTCCTCTGGTCACAATTTGTAGCACAATTTGCAACAACAGGTTTACATACGCTGGGACATTGTGAATAGAGTTTGTGCATAAAGTGATAACAACATCTCGAGTGCAAATTATCTTGCATAAACGTCTCTTTTCTCTTCACAAGCCACAATGGGTCATGTCTAAGTTGCATTATTTTACTGCCAAGACCAAAATAATTGCAACTTATGTTTTGACTCTATTTATCAATTCGTACGCGGTTTTCCATTGTCTGTACTCTTATTGACAATGAAATTGACGTCAAAAATGCTCAAAACTCAAGTGGAACCATGAGCACAAGCGAGTGGTTTCACTTCAAAGTTTAACTAATAATAGACCAATCCCTCRTTCGCTTGGATGAACACGAAACAATGCCTTCATTTCGAGGCTGGAGTTTTCGACAAAAGATAAAACTCCAGCCTCGAAATGAAGCCATTGTTTTGTGTTCACCCAAGCGAATGAGGGATTGGTCTATTGATGCAAAGGTGTGGCTACAAGATGACACTGGGAACTGTTAAATGGAGTATTGGTAATAGAGTCATTTYCATCCGTCTGTGAAACAATTACTACTAGTCAGTGTTTAATAGTAACTATTAGGGTGTAGTAGGCTACCAAAAGGCAAAATCAAAACCGTGTTTGCCTAATTAGTTTGTATTGGGAGCTAGTAGTGGGTAATAGTATTTAATAGTTTAATTCCTTCGTCACAGACGGATGAAAATGACTCTAAGTCATGGCACCATAGCGAAAATGTAGCCTCTTTCTGCAAGTGTCTCTTTTATGTTCAAAAACAATGGGCTTCCTGTATTATATCAAAAAGAGAGCAGAAATATATTTATTAGCGTTACAGAATGTACACAGGGAAGTATTGACGCGTGTCAGCACTTAAGTATAAGTGACTAAGTAAACAAAGTTTTGCAATACCCATCCCATGGGTATTTACATATGCAGAGTACTTAAGGTGTGAGTCATGAATGAATTTCCATTCGAAGGCATCTCATTGTTAACACAAATCTTAGTTTTTTGTTTTTTTCACTAGTCCTATTTCTCCATCAGCTCGTCCAGCCTTGGAACACAATAAGTGATAGCTTCTTTGACTTGAGTCGTCAAACAATGCCGTTTATAATTTGTATATGACCACTTGTATAAATAATAATGCATACTTTTCAGTTGTCAAACTATCAGGCATGAATAAACGAGATGCCCGCCCCTACTATGTTGTCTGGTCTTATTATTTGAATGGAGTTTAGGTAATAAATGTTTTATACTCGTTCATAAGTGAATAGAGTATAACTTAGGATAAAAACTTGAAAACCTAGACGCTTGTGGAGGAGGCTAGAGAAAGTAAATAGAATTACATTTGGGAATCATTATATTAATAAACAAATTATGTAAAAAATCTTATCTTATAATCTTATCTTATAGTGCCTGCTCTTGGACATCAAAATAATTCCTTCTCTGCAAGTCTAGAACAAAATGAGAGCCTTGAAGTACAAGATGACATWGAYGCCGCTGAACCAGTCTCAGATTTCCTACTCAAACAAATCAAGAAAAATCCACTGTATTTCATATCATTTTCAGATGAGCAATTGCTGTCAATCATYGAATGTGATGTCAGTTATCTTGCGAGAGGACTGGTGATGACAGAACATGAAGCCGGATTTTATCAAGATACTTGTCAAAGAGAGTTGGATAAGAGAACTGAGATGCARAGAGCTAGTGACTTGTTGAAACTTTACGACAAGGGAATGCAAATGGAAAATGTTGAGCCACAAACTAAGAAACAAAAGACTTGATATAAAGATTACTGTGCCCTTGAAAAGTAGTAGGATTTTT